CTCTCTCTCTCTCTCTCTCTCTCTCTCTCTCTCTCTCTTCTTTTCTTTCGTCTTCTCTTTTTCATTCGATCGAGTCGGAGTTATGTCGGCTGCAACTCCGGGTCTTATACCTTCTACTAGAGGTTTGAACGGAGGAGACGGGAGAGGGAGACCTCCTTCGTCTGACCTTTGCTGACGGGGCCTCGGTCGATGAGGAAGAGTACGCCGTCGCTCTGGAGGGATCAGCAGCAGCACGACGAGACCTTCGATCTCTCTTATTGCCTACACCACCTCTACTGGACACGCATACAGATGCCGATGGCTCTTGGGTGATCCAATGGTGACCTTTGTTAGCTGATGAGGTAGGCAACGAGGAAATGAGGGGGGCGGGGGTGGGGGCGGGGGGAGGGGTCACATATGTGAACTTAGTCGCACGATGCGAGGCCTCCTCCTCCTCCTGTCGTGTCAACCGCCCCCCCCCTTCTCTCGAGATCCCCACCTGATCACCATCATTCCTCCTCCCCCACCTATCATTACCCTCCACTCCCTTCTCCTTCTCCTCCTCTTCGTCAGGAACAAAGCTCTCGCTCTCTGCCACGTCCGAGTCCTCTCCTCCCGTGCTGTCGCTGCCCGGGTCGTCTTCACCCTCTTGAAAGAGTTTGCTAGCCTCGCACATTCGGTACAAGGCATTCATGTGCACGAGCTTGGTGAAGTCGGTCGGCGACTCCCAAGCCAGGGCGACCGCAGACTGAGCGACCGGGCGGCCAAGTTTTCGAGCAGACGACCTCAAGTTGTAGGGCGACGAGCCTGCGACACTTGTCACACCCGCCGTCGTGCCAACACTGCACGCATCGAAGTGATCCCTAGCGCTCTCGTCCTTATTAGCAGCGAAGGCGGACTTCCAAGCCCCCTCCCCCTTCCCATCCTCCCCCCTCCTCGCACGGCTGGCTGGCTGATCGAGGAGAAAGAGAGAAGCAGTGGGAGGTGGTTTATAATCTGGGTCATCGTCGTCTTCGTCGTTATCGTACCCCATAGGATCGACATAGCCGTTGAAGATGGGAAAGGGGGGAGCACCTGCAGCAGCGGCAGAAGCGGAAGAAGGGCCAAATACCCCCCCTCCTCCCCCAAACAGGAGGCGGCCATCAGGTCCTGGGGTGCATCGCCTCCTCTCACACCGATTAGAAAGGGCCACGTGGCAGGTCCTGGGAAGCAAGTATTGCCCTCCACCCTCCTCCTCCTCCTCCTCCTCCACCTCTCCTTTCTCTGTGTTCATCTTCCACGACGGATCGAGCCTCGCCAGATCCGTGTACCCCCCCCCATCTTTGTACCACCTCTTCTTATCTGTTGTCGTCTTCCTCTTGCTAACTGCCAGTGCGTCTCTATTGCTCTCATCCTCCTCCATATTACGTCTTGTGACGATCGCCATTCTTCCGGCCGACCCCTCCTCCTCCTCCTCCTTCTCTTGCTGCTTTTGCTGCTTCCGCTTCTGATGAGTCATCATCTTTTCCATGTTCCTTGTGTGTGCATCTAGCTTCTGCTGCACGTGCAGCAACATCTGGTAGCTCAACGCCGAGTAATCCCTATACGTTAGAGCAGAGTATGCCAATATAAGAACGCCGCCAAAGACGAAAGCCATGCGAGTGCGATAACGAATGGAGTGGCACTGACTCATGACCCCCTCTCTTCCTCCTCCTCCCATACCCTTGATGCTGTCCAAGCCGGCGTTTTGTCCCCCCCCTCCTCCTCCTAGGGGGGTAGTACTACGGGGGGAGGGGGTGACCCATCGAACCCACCACCATTCCACGGCGAGGCATGCCACCATAGCTACGTACAAGGCGAAGCGTGCAGAGTGAGTCCTAGGCACACTGGTTACGCAATGAATCAGCACGGCGGATGCTGAATAGAACAGCACGCTCTTCAACAAGAAAGAGTCCATGATCATCCCGTTGCACAAGGCAATCACGTGATCGACGGACACGAATAACTGGTCCAACACGGAGAGCACCCCCGCTTGCTTCTCGACGAAGGCCTCCTGTGCACGGGCAATCTCCTTGGCGCTCCTCGACAACCCCCTCTGTGAGTCCAGCAGCTCTTCGTGCGTCAGACGCATCTCCGAGTGCCACGTGGCAGTAATCTCGTGGTGCTCTTTCGTCTCCTCTCGAAGGACCTTCAGAGACGAACTGCTCTCGTCCATCAGCTCCTTCGCCTCCCGATGCCACGTGGCCGACTGATCGTGGTGGTCCCGAGCTTCGTCCCGCACCACTTGCAAGGAATCCCGGCTTTCCTTCATCATGCCTTGCGCTTCCTTGTACCAACTCGAAGATTGCAGATGGTGCTCCTGCGCTTCGCTGCGCACCGACTCCAAGGCCGACTTGCTGTCCTGCATCATGCTCTGTGCTTCTTGGTGCCACGTGGCAGATTGCACGTGGTGATCTTGCGCCTCCTTCCGCACGAGCTCCAGAGACGATCGGCTCTCCTCCATGAGATGCTGGACTTTGCCGTGCCACGTGGCACTCTGCTGGTGATGCTCCCGCGCTTCGCTCTGCAAGACGTCGAACGACGACCTCGCCTCCTCGCGCAACCCTTCCAACGATGACTTCGCAGCTTCGATCAAAGCCTGCTCCTCCTCGTGCCACGTGGCAGTTTGCACGTGGTGGTCCCGCGCTTCGTCCCTGATATGCCCGAGCTGCTGGCGGTGATCGAGCGCCTCCTTCTGAAGCAACTCGAACGACGACTTGGTGTCGTCACGAAGACCCTCCAACGAAGACTGAGTACCCTTCATGAGATCTTGCGCCTCGTGGTGCCACGTGGCGCTCTGCAGATACTGCTCTCTCGCCTCGTCTCGCAGCCCCTCCAGCGAGGATCGCGTTCCTCTCATCAGATCCTGCGCCTCTTGATGCCACGTGGCACTCCGCAGATGGTGGTCCCGCGCCTCATCCCTCACCGCGGACAAGGACGACTGGCTATCGCGAAGGAGCTGCGAAGTCTCGTCGTGCCACGTGGCAGACTCCTTCTGATGACTTCGCGCCTCGTCTCTCATCGCAGAGAGCGACCGCCCGCTGTCCTGCATCATCTTGTCGACGTCAGCGTGCCACGTGGCAGCTTGAGAGTAATGCTCTTTCGCAGTGTCGTGCAGTTGCAAGAGAGTAGATCGGCTGTCCTCCATGTACTGCCTGGCTTCGGAGTGCCACAAAGCAGACTGCTCATGATGATTCTGCACCTGCCCGCCTAGTGCGGACAGAGACGATCGGGTCTCCGACAAAGCCTCATTCTGCGCTTCTCTCAACCGCATCATGGCCTGGATCTCTGCCACCTGTCCTTCGATCAGTTGCTTCTGCCTTGTCGCCATCTCCATCTGTCCAGCCAGCAGCTTTTCTTGCCCTGCAACTGCTTCCCTGATGCCGGAAGTGACGTTCTGCGTGATTCGTTCGGTCACGTTGAGCGCCTGGGCGGCGATCTCTTTAGTGGCGGCGGCGACTCCGCTCTTCAGATTCGACTGCGCGGCCAAGATCTCCCGCTGATTATCGAGCACGCGCCCGTGGATCGTCCTCTGCTCCTCCGAAAAACGTTTTTGAATGGCAGCTGATTGGTGGACGCGATCGAGGATCTCCTCCGATCTGCCTGCCATCTCCCTAACCGTCTCGCCGGCCCAAGCAGCACTCGCCTTAAGCTCGTTCACGCTGCGCTCCGTCTCCAGCTTGAACACCTCGCTCTGGAGGTGATGACACGTGTGCGCTGTGTCGAGGAAGAACTCCGTGTAGATAGCGAACGTGTGCTCATCCATGGACTTCGTGCAGTCTTCCACCGGCTCACCGGTCCAACAATTCACACTCTTCCTCCCTGAGCTCTCAAGATAACAGTTGGTAATTAGCAGAGCAAACTGTGCCTTGCTCGATTCCTCGCTCAAGATCGATCGGCAGTTCGACGACAACTGCACGTACGCCTCCCGCCAGCAAGAATGCTGCTGATCGTCCTCTGCCCGGGCCAACATCTCCTCCACACGCACCCTTGCGTCGGTCTTCGATCTCGGGGAAACCACAGCCATCATACTATCTGATTCAAACCTTTCCACCTCTGCACTCCCAACCCCTCTACCTCCTCCTCCTCTTCCTCCTCCTCCTCCTCCTCCCCCTACTCCTGCTGCTCCTCCTTTAGCTGCATTTCGTCCGTGAGACGAGGTGTCTCTTTGTTCGTTGGACTCTTTCACTTGCGGAGATCCACCGAACCAGGACGATGAACTTCCCAACCACGCATCGCATTTGCCCAAGATTGAAAGGGCTAACACGACCAAGATCATCGTGCAACCCATCGCTCTCACAGGAAGACGACTCCTTGTCGCCGAGAGAGGAGCCATGGTGAACCCTCTACCCTCTGAAGTCACTCGCACATACACAACACCGCATCAACCCGACCTGTCACCCACTCTCCCACCGATCATCCGCCGTTGATCGCATCAAATTGACTTGTTCCTTTTTTTTTTCGTTCACACTCACACATTCACAACACCCGATCGAACCCCCGACCTGTTTGTTACCCACTCTCCCACCGATCATCCATCATCCGGATGACCTTGATCGCATCAAATTGGCTTGTAAACCCATTCGCTCACAGATACCAACAACGCAACAAGCCCACCTGTTCCCACTCTGCGGCCGCACATCCACACTTATTAATATAATAATTAAACCGACTTGTCACACACTCTCTCTCTCACCACATCCCCGTCCTTTCCTTGATCCGAGCCGATCCTGATCCTCTCGCGAGTTTGTGAGGTGCCTAACGCACATTTTTTATTTATTTTTTATTTAACGCTCAGATGTGCCATCAGTCGACAGCCGACAAGGTTCGTCGACGATCCCTCCTCCTGAAGAGGGTGCGTGAGTGAGTGGGTGAGCGGGTGGATGAGTGGGTGAGTGGATGAATGGGAGGTGAGAGTGGGGGAAGGTGGGTGTGAGGGAAGTTGGCTGTGTAGTGTAGGAGAGTGGGTATGTGGAGAGGGTGGGTTGGGTTGTGGACGCCAGTGTGGCAGAGCGTGATGGGCGTGATCGCTGATGATTAAACGGTCGCTCTGAAGGCAGAATGCCATCGGTGGGCGGCGACGACGACGAGTGGTTTCCAATCTCGGGGAAGTGGAGGCAAAACAGGGGTCAGAAGACGGTGAGGAACTTACAGAGGCGTTCCTCTACCCTACCGTAGCCTGCGCGACCCTTACGCCACCGATTTTTTTTATTTTTTTTAATCACCCCACCGATTAGGGGGGTGCCCCTACGCGATTTCTAATGTTCCTCCCTCTTTTTTTCTGCCCCTTTCTGAGGGGGTAGATCATAACGTTACTGTGTATCCGTCAGTCACGATTTGAACTCAAGAGCCGTTGATAGATGTGTCGGACGCCATTCAATTCAACCCAAAGGGCCTCGCCACACCAGTGTCGAAACGAGAAACGTTCAAATGAATGTTCCCACAGAAAGTGGCAAGATGCATCCGTTCCTAATGAATAACAACAGAAGCGACTTTCTGGAGAAGATGCACTACCGGTAGTGCTTTTTTCGTTTCGACAGTGGTGTGGCCAGGCGCGAAGGCACGTCCGATACAAAGGACAAGAAATATGGCAATGTATCTTTCCAGATTTTAGCGGCGGATTCGGTCTAATTTTGCACATTTTGAGAGTAGTGGAGCCAGGCCGTTGGATTAGCATATGCCCTGCCCCGAGAGGACAGGAAAACATGTCGTTGTGCGCCTCGCTCCAGTAGTGTCATTGAGCCCCGCTCCACTGAGGGCCTCGCCACACCACTGTCGAAACGAAAAAAGACACCCTGCATCATCCTGACGAGGGGCTGATGCAAGCCTTGCTCTGGCACCACAGCTGTGGTGCAAATCTACCCGGTGGGCTCGGGAGAGTTCCAGGTTTGGGGTTGGTTGGTGTTCCCCCGGTACTATACCTAGATAGATGCGGAATAATATACATGGATAGATAGATGAGAGAAGAATATAGATATCTCAAAATCTTCGTCTGAGGCGAGGCGGAGCGATGCGTTAGCTTCTGGACGGTGGTATGGAGAAACGAAGCTTCGTCTTCGGTACTCTTGAGGTGGGGGAAGTATCTATCAAGGGCGTATCACATGAGAAGGGGAAGGGGCAAGAGGGAACGACGGGAGGACGAGTTGACCAACGGCGAAACAGATAGTGCTTCATGCCAACTTCCAACCGCAAAGAACCCCGTAGCATCGGCAGCAACGTTGGAACACTCTGATATGCTTCTGGGAGGTATTCAAGTACGATCGAATAGGCCCTTGTTGATTATTCCTATTTTATTGCCTCAAATTGCTTGGTATGTCTTTTTTATAGATTCCTTTAATTTTTTATAGTTGTGTCGGCCACAACCTCCCAACCCAAAGGCGCCTTGGAGTTCATTGACCCGCTGACCGAGAATGGCAAACAAAGGATCTATGAACTCTTAAGCGCATGCTTTTCAGGATGGAGTCTTGCCTAATAACTTGAATCCAGGACACGTAGAATCCGGAGAAGACTTTGTCAGGGTCAGAGTAAACTCAGACGTCTACCGCATCTAGTCCGAATGGCTACAAGAACATGCAATTTCAATATTTTTGGGGGACGAAGCCACCTCCCTCCCAATTGACTTTAAGAATCGACTAATTCAAATTTACGAAAATAGATGGGCAACATCAGGAGTAACACGCGTCGCCCCGAAGAGGGGAATGTTCCGTAACGAAGGGAAAAATATGGCAACGTATATTGCTTCGTCCAAGGCAAACACGGATTGGATGCTTCGGAAAGGAGGAGACGAAATTGAAATGCATAACCGCTTCTACACGTTATCCTTTCGTCCATGGATGACAAAACAAGAGTTGAAAGATTGAAGGAGCACTATGAAACAAAACATTTTTTTGATTAGGTGCATGGAAGTGTCTGTATCAGCCTTGGGTCTTCTAAAAATATCCGCGCAGGATGCTTTTAACAAAGTAATTAGGGATTTTTCAACGTACAAAAACAAACTGGATCCTAATTTGCAGAATGTCAAATTTCACTTAGTCTCGTCCGCTAGACTTAAATACAAGAAATGTCTAATTGTTGATCTTCTCTCACATGGTAGTGTTGAAATCGATGTGGTCCATGTCGAAACACCTTGGTGCTCGGTCTGCAGACGTCATTTCCATAAGGACTTAGATGGTACATGGTCAGCTAAAGCAAATGAAGTACGGGTCAACGAGGATTTAAAAAGAAGGATGCCCCGATTCAAAACAAGGGAATGGAGAAGGAAAAGGAGGAGGGTGGAAATGAAAAAGAAGGAGGCGGAGACAAAATTGGGGTGGGCGGCAAGGACGGAGGAGGCAGTAAGAACAGACATGATGGCAAGAAGGAAAGAGACAATAAAGAGGGTGGAGGTGACGAGAATGAAGGAGGGAAAAGCAAACAGGTAAAGAAAAGAAGGGGGAAAGGAAAAACAAATAGAGAAGTATGGTGGGGAAAAAAAAGGACAAGGAACAAACACGGGATTCGTGAAAACCAGACAAAATAACAAAACCAAACATTTTTTTGTAGAATGAATACTTACCAGTCAAAGCGCTATTTTGAAAAAAATAAAAAAAATTTAACTATTTATAAAAGAAAATGCAAAAAAATAAGAAAAAAGGTCAAGCGATTATAAAAAGTGCAGGAAAATCCTTTCCAACAAAATCATGTTGTAGGACTATACGTCATTCTCAAAAAAGTGAAAAAAAATAGAGCTCAAACATAAGGCATATGATGCGAAGTTGAAAGTTTGAAAAAAATGGTTTTAATGAATACTCATTTATAAGACTACAAACCATTTTCAATAGTTAGGCAAAAACTCAATCTATGAGAAAACTAGTTTATAAAACTATAAATCAATTTTTAAGTAAAAAAAAAGCCTTGTAAAAAAAATATGTTATGTAAAATAATAATACAAACAACTTTTGTTTGGGAGACATCTTCAATTTTTTAACCAAATACAAAAAAAAAAAAAAAGATAAAAAATAAATTCGCTCTAACCTGCGTAGCACCGTGTTCATGTTCGGAGGCGAACACGAACATGTTCGCCCGAACGTGAACAAGCGCCCAAAACCCTCCGAACGTATACATAAAAAATATGAGAAAAAAAAACACACAAAAATTCATAAAAATCTAAATATATATATATATGTTATGTAAAATATTAATACGAGCAACTTTTGTCTTGGAGTCATATTCAAATTCGTAGCCAATCATGAGTTAAATAAAAAACCAAAAAAATATATGTATAGGGTTGTTAGACCGAGCGTACGGAGGCCCCTAAGCTGACCCCCGAATGTTCGGGCGTTCGGGTTCCCGTACGAGGCCCGAACTTGAAGGGGTTCGGAACCCACAAAAAAATATTTTGGCATCCAAATATCATTATTTTTTTTTGATTTTTTTTTTTTTAGTTCTTTGCGATGTAAGGTATCTCCCGCTTAATTTTGAAGTCATTTTGTTAAGCCAAAAACAAATGAAAAATCCTCAAAGGTGGTAGTGTCAAAACTTGTTTGCCCACTCACAAATTTGTTTTTTCTCTCTTTTGACTTTTTGTTTTTCTTTTATTTTGGGGCATAAAACAATTTATTATTTTTTCAAACTTTCTTTGTAAATCTCTATCATGTAAAATACACATATATAAATTTTCATGACATACGTCATAGCCAAAAAAAAAAAAAAAATCGTCAAAGATGGCGGTGTCAAAAACATGTTCGCTCATTCAATAATTTAATTCTTGTTTTATTTTTCTCAATTTTTTTTTTATTATTATTTATTTTTATAATTTGATTTTTATTTCAAATTTGGTAACGAATGTGGATATATTGTCAAGGCAAATGTTGTTTAGTTTATTCTTTTGCATAACATTTTTTTTTTTCAAAGTTTTTGTTTTTTTTTTTTTTTTTTTTTTTTTTTTTTTTTTTTTTTTGTTGTTGTTGTTGTTGTTGTTGTTGTTGTTGTTGTTGTTGTTGTTGTTGTTAATAACTTCATTAGTAGAATAGGCGAGAGATTACTTTAGCAGTTTCTGCTCTCTGTTCTGGATTGCAACAAGTCTTTCAGTGTTTCTTACCCTATTTCATTGGCTGGAGTTTTCACCAAAAATTGGATTGGATTTTTCATCATTTCTGTATATATTCTTGATTTTCTTGATTAAAAGACTATAAGGGGAAATACTCTTTCGCAGCCCTAAGAGTAGTGGTAGGCAGGTAGTGAGTGAAAGGCAAAAGAAAAGAATTTGAGAGAAGAATAAAGCGTAGTTAAAAAAAAAAAAAAACAAAAAAAAAAAAAACTGTGTTGTAGATATTATTTTCGTCGATTTATTATTATTATTATTATTATTAT